ATTATCCAATGAGGACAGTTGTATCTGTTTGTATTCCTCCCTTTTTGAATGTGTTTGTTATGGCTCCTGATTTTGTGACGGACAGAATTGCGGGCTTAACTCAAACTGAATTTGTATGAATAAGATTTTATATATGTACTTATGTTTTAGATGCTGCTCCAGGAAATGATGTTAGTATGAGTTGGAGATATAAAGTGAACGATTTAAATTTTCTGGGCATTTACAGTGCAGGAAAAATCGTTACGCCTGGTATCCTAACTCATCTAAGCTCTAATTTCTTTACATTATATTTGTGAGGGGTATTATTCAATGTTAAATTAATTTTGAACTGTTGTTGTAGATCAACAAGATCGTAAAGCAGCTTTAAACAACTCCTCACATCCCATATGAAACTATAACATGCTCACTTTTCCGTATGTATTTTTTTATTGTATTTATAGAGACTGCAAGGTGGAGACATCTTGAGAAAAACGGATTCCAACAAGCCAAAGAATTCCATCCCGCTCGATCTAAAGTGAAATAAAAAATACAGAAATCGAAACAGCGGGTGAATCCAAATCCTTCCTAGCTTACAATGTTTTAAAAAACCCTCTGCTGGAACAGAGGCAAAATAAGACCAAGATGCTGTAAGTATAACGTTGACAACCAAGCAGTCTCCGTCGGGAAGGATTCGTGATGTCTACCCCATATGCCCTTGTCTCGTGGGCTATGAAACAAGTGGAAAAAACAAACAAAAAAAAACTATAGGTAAAAGTACCGTGCATGGGGCCGCGACTTGAAGCAGCTGAGGAGAAGCGCATGTCGTCTTAATTGATATTGAATTCAATACATCACAGATTATATATATAAACCAAAATATATATATAAGTAAATATGTAAAGGTCATTCTATCATCAGTGTTTTGACAGTAACCAAATTTTTACACTTAACTTTGTTTTCTTTTACAAGTTGTATTGTGGAAGGGGGGATCTAAGCAAATAAATTGAACAGATTTACCTGATGTATAGTTTCTCTTTCAGTGTGAACTAATAAAGTTTCAAGTAGCCGAATGTTTCCTTGTATGGGATGGTGTATACATTTTTTTTAATTATTATATATCATCTGTATCGCGCCACTTGGAGGATTATATATATAAATATATAAAAGAAAAAAAAGACAGGAAAAAAAGATCCATTGAAATTTTTTTTGTGATTGCACATCTTGAACTCCAGAGAAAATGTGTAATTAATCTCTTGGCATTCAAACAGATTTTATTGTAGCATTACTTATGTCTTGTCATTTTTAAAACTTAGCGAATTGGAATTGTTAATTTTTTGGATAATTGTCAGTTTACAAAATTCAAAAATGGTAAAAAAAATATTAAAAATATTGTTTGTATAATGCTGTGTTGCACAACTAGTTTTTAAACTGTAATACACTGTAATATACAGCTATTAAAAAAATAATAAAGTAATGCAATTACTGGAAACTTAACAATTTGATTTTCATATTTTAAATTTCTTTTCTACATAAAAGGATTTGTAAAAATCAAGATAAAAAAAAAAAGAGACTCTCACATTCCAAAAGCCAATACACCATTGTGCATTGGCATCAGAAGGAGCTTCTCCACATCAGAGTCACAAAGATCACCACCCAGACCACCATCACCACCAGAAGGCTGCTCATGAGAAACGTCTTGTATCCGGCCCACGGCTCAAGCCGCACGCTCAGCTTGGACTTGGAACCCGTACCGCACTTGCACTCCGTGCCCTCCTGCAGGCAGGAGCAGGGGCGCCTCTCGTAAACCCTGACCACCTGCCTTCCCGTAAGAGGACCGCCGTTGCTCTCATCCCGTGACAGATCCACCGCGATCTCTCTGCTCTTTGCATCCCGAGAGCCTCCCACAGTCATCTGTTTTGGCAAACGATTATTTGGATTAGTTTAATTTTAAATACATACAAATCTAACTTACATAAATAACTACCACAGACATAATGTTAACTAACGTTTTGACTTATCACACACAGTTCAGATTATACTGTACAAACAAATTTAGTTTTATTTACACATTAAAGCTACACATAAAGCAAGAGGAAACACTACTTACAGCCCCACATTCATCTCCAGTAGTGTGCATCTCGACGAGTTACAGGGAACTAAGATGGAAATCCATTGAAGGATGCAAGAGGACCGATTATCTTTGCCTTCCACAATCGTTTGTGCGTCAAACCGGAAAATATATTTTTAATCCTGCCCAACATCCGTCCAGACGTGTTTATTTGTTCCAAACGGCGGATATTGTAAAAATAGATAACTCATCTGTATTTAACCTACTTAGTTCGCGTATACGTTAATAGATGGCGCCGTGGAGATTTTTGTTTTCAAAGATTAAGGTTTAAATAAGCGCCACCTGTTGGCTGTTAGTTTGGTTTTTGAAAATCGGAAGATAGTACTGACGTCACTTCCTGTTTTCAAACCACACTTATTTGTAGATATTTTATAATTGGTGTATTACGAAATATTTCATCGGAGACGAAGTTAAGACGCTATTTTAATGTCGAAATTGCTCTGCGGTTGAATAAATTTACATTGAAATCATCCAATCGCGTTCTCGGTTTTAAATTTAAATATAATTAGAACAATACATTGGACCGAAACCGCGTGAACCGACGTTTTCGCTTTATGACGTCACGGTATTTAAGATTTCGTCACAATCGGCTTTCGACAGATTCGAAGTCTTCGATCGTGAAATCGTTAAAAATTTCGTAAATAACCGATGGCGTTTCTGTATCTAAAAATATAACTGGAAGATTTGTTGTTTTTTAATCTGTCAAGATTAAAGATGATAACTGCTCGTTTACGGAGTTGAATGAACAATTAAATAATTCCGTAGACTTTAAACTTTGTTACATTATTTTTGGAAATTGTTAGAATTAGATCATTTATCCGCGAAAAACATTGTTTTAAATAACCCTGAATACGTAACTACGAAAATCGAAATAAAAAAGTCATGTTGCCAGCTTATAAATTTTAAAAATATTGCGAAAATTTGAATATAAATTTAAATAATTCCCCCTCAAATCTCATTAATTTCATTTGAAAAAAAAAGTTTAAAAATTTAAACTTTAGATTTAGAAAATGATTGACGAAAAGTATTTTAAACAATTTAATTACGTAATCATCGAATACCATTTCGTAAATAAACAATACACGTGCCGAACATGTGTAAAAAAAAAAAACAAAAATAATCAATTACACGACTTTCATTTAAGTGCTGCCAATTTCACATTTTAAAGAAAATTTAAAATTTATTTTATTTAAGTCAGTTTTAAGAACCGGTTTCGTTTCGCGAAATCAAAAAATTTAAATTTACGATAATAAATTCTCGAATGAAATATAATTAAACGATTAAATTACGTAAATACTAATTATCTTAAATGTAAATAAACAACCCACGTGTCGAACACGTGTAAAAAAAAAAGAGAAACAAAATAATCAATTACGTATCGTTAATTTAAGTGTTGCCAGCTGACCAAAAAAAAAGTTGGAAATACGTCACAGAATTTAAAAATATAAATAAAACTTTTCAAGAACGAACGAATCGATAGTAAAATAAAAAGAAAATATCTTCATTGTGAAATCTAAAATAAACTTTCATTAGAATCATCCGTCTTGTTGCACGACAGAAAATGTCTTTTAGAAATTATCGTTTGATCCACTTAACGTTAAATTCATCCGAATTTTTAAGTTAGATAATTACGTTTGACATTGGCTTTAATTATCACTCAGAAAGTTTCTATCTAATTATCATTATATATATATATATATATTAAGTCAATTTATCCTTATTCCGTGTAAGCGATAACAACGTTTAATTATATTTATCTCGTCTCCGAATTGAAAATCTTTGAACATCACGAGCACTCGCACCATTTTCTTTTGATCTCGTTCCGATTATCGAGAATAAATATGGCGCGTTTAGATTTTTATTTATTCAATTCCCTTAAGAAAATACATCGAATTACTCGAGAGTAATTTTTTTTTATATTTAAAAATAAAAATAAAAAACCAAAGAGGATATTTCTCGCTAGAAATTCGAGTTCTTGCAGGCTCCATCTTCAAGGTCGTTGGCGAGACCTTGAACATCGACCTTCTTTCCCTTTAAAAAAAAGGTATAAATTTAAAGTGAAATCTTTCAATTTTCTAAGCGACAACTTTCTTCAATAATCTGTATTTTCGGGTAATAAATAATCAGAAATACCGAAACATGGACCTAATATATATATGGTAACGCGCTGCAAATTCGAGCCAAATGTTTATAAGGATTAACTTTATTGGCCTGGCATTTCTGGTGCCCAGATCTTAAGAAGCACGTTCATATCGTAATTAAGGCACACTAACCTTAATTTTTCGTACTACGGACGGACAGCTGGCCGGCAAATAGAAATGGATAATGTGTCAAGGTCAGGCGATTAGATATCCGAGAACCTAATTCTAAACGCTCCTTCGTCGGCAGCCAGTTCTGGCCGGCTTAAATTGAATTAAAAGGTTGAAAATTTATATTAACTTTATTGTTATTATTATTAAGAAGGCTAATATTGAAGAACCTGTAAGAAATAAAGCTCTAAACAGGCTTCAACTGTAAATTTACCTTTATTTAAGGCATTGTTATAGATTGATTAAGAGCCTGGAGAAAAAACCAACATCTATCGTGTTTTTTAGATGTTTAGCGAAGGCTCAAGTTGGGAATAAGCCTGTAACGGATAATAAGGCTAAGTAAGGCGTTACAGATTGAAATTAGTCACAACAAAGCGAATTATATTCCGTAACGGAGCTCCTTTTATTTAGTAAAAGCTGGTAGTTTATTAAGGCTGGAGACAGGCTAGAGCAGGCGTTATACATTAAGATGTTTTGTATCTTGCTGGCCGGAAGAGGAAGGAGAACGATGATATAAAGTACCGTATTAATTAACTCCTCGAGTTAGCCTTAATGTAAGGAGCCTTATTTAAAAATAAAAAATTATAAAACGAGGTTTCGTTTACAAAATGAAAAGTAGCGATAAGAGCGAACAGGCGCAGTGAGGCGAGGTGAACGTCATCGATCACAGATCGAGCACATACTATTTCAGCACCGAGATGTGCCCGTTCTAGATTAAACCGGATCGAAAATGATCGAGAGTCATAACAGGGCTCACGAGAAACGAATATTCTGTATCAGAAGAAGTAACGCGTTACTCTTATTACTCACAGTTTTCTATGTGTTGTATTTAATAATCGGTGGAGCCATTTTCATGAAGAGCGAAGGGCCCGTCGAGATCCAACTCAAACAATCGTTGTTAACTTTGAGGAACGAATTCGCCAGCAAACATCCCTGCGTAACGGGTAAGTAACACTGCGTAACAACTAATTTTCAGCCTAATTTGTTACTATAGTAGAGATGACAAACCGGCCAGAGCCGGTATCATCGCTGAATGAACAGTCAGATAACGTTTTGTTGGGTAGCATATTGCAGGGATGCGAATCCGTAACTGTTAATTTGGTTTTTTTATTTTTAAATTGAACACGTTACGAGAGCCATTTATGGAAATGATTCAATTGAGTTATAAAATTTTGATACTTTATCATAAATTAATGATGATAAAGCAATAACCTTATCTAGAATTTCAACTGAGGTATCAATTAAGGTGATAATACTGTAGGTTCGAATCTGGTTTAATGTCGGAGAGCCCGAACACGGATTCACCAGCATTTTTTTCCATTAACAATATTGATCCGTGGGATATTAAGGTTTAATAATAGGCTTTTCAATCATCACTTAACTCTACGAGAGGCGTTCAGAGAATCGTGGCTCAATGAGATTCAAAGCAGATCATTTGTCTATGAGAAGTACTGATTTAGTTAAACGATAGATGTTCGGTGAGTCATTTGGCTCTACTTTAGACGTTCAAATAAAATCATTTGGCTTAACGAGAAAGTCAAAACGGATCGTTTCTCTCTATAAGAGACATTTGACTCAATGACAGCTCACTCAGAGCCAAATGACCTTTCTAAATCTTATCTAGAGACAAATATACAAGAAATTACTCCAAGTTTACATAAAAATCTATAAATAAACTTTATAATTTACAAAATATTTATTAAATTTATGTTATTCGACCTAATTATTTTGTAAACTATGGCCATAAAGGAAAGCGTGTCACGGTTTTTACTTTGGAAGAGTGAGGATAGCGAACGAACCTCGCCCTCCAAACTGTAACAAACCTTCAACTTTATATTACGAAACGTAAATAACTCGTATCAAGATATAATAAATAGTTTATATCATTTTTTAAATAAATTCTGGGGCTTAATAGTATATTTATTTTGTTTAACGTTTAATTTAAACGTTAATTTTTTTTTCTATATTTGATCACAAAGGCAGGAAGTTTTATCTAAGAGGAAGTGTTATACAAGTTGAGATAAAACTGTGTGAGTTTATCTAATTAATAGCTATTATAAAACGGCTATATAGTAAATATAGTTTCAGCTGTGTATAATTGAAAAAATAAAGAAATTAGTTCGTAAATATGCCAAGTGAAGGCATATTTGTGCATTGTCTGTAATGTAATTCCGATTTGAAGGCACAGATGATCTATTTATAGAAGGGGCATAGTTCCTGTTTATGTTATAGAGCTATGGTGCTTAATATAAAAGACTCTCTCCTTCAATAGGAGCTTTGTATATAAAGTTTCGTAGTTAATTATAATTAGTACGGCGGTGAAAATTCAAAATGGCTTCCGTATCAGAACAAATAAAACAAGTTAAATTTCTGGTTTGGCTTCGGTTTTATACACTAGAAACAGTGTCAATGCTCCCGTTTTCCTGTATTATCCAATTATATAAATATATAATTTTCCCGTAATTTAAATAAGGGAGATACAGCTATTGTGATCTCTATAGAAATCCTATAGAATGACTTCCCCTCCTGGTTTCTTTTTACTGTTATGAGATCTCTACACAAATTACTTTCAGTACTTTAAGGTTGTACACGTGTATTTATAGCAGTACTGGGAAGCGGGTATTGAAAACACCCTATAGAAACGTAGAATTTCCTCATAAATATAAATAGCCGGCATCAACAACAACGGTCACCTCTAAACAGAAGTCACGTTTTAAGGAAAGAAATGAATACAAAATAACCTCCAAACAACATCCATTTTTGATGTCGTTTCCCACAGTTTTTGAGTATTAATTAATAAACCACAGAAATAAACCTTATATATACATACGTCAACAAAAGAGGAAAGAAGTTACACCCTGGCATAAAAAATGGAAACCCCGTTAGAGAAAGTAGCGCAAAATGGAGAAAACTCCCCAAAGCAAAGTACAGATATGTTAAAAGTGTTAAAAAAAAAACTAAATAATCGCCATAAAAATTCATTAAAATCGAAGATAAAAAATGTCACAAGACACCAGACGAAAGTGGCGATTTCGCATCGATATCTATGAATTGTGCAAAACTTCGCTATACGTCTGTACTGATGGTGTGTAACCGCTGATCTATGGACCGATCATGCTTCGTGTACCGGCACGAACATTCGATTTTTAAAAAAAATCGGATAAATAAATAAAGGATTTAACGCGCTCTCGTTCTTTGTCCTTCGTTTCTTATCATTACTCACTTGGCTCTACGGAGAGAATAGGAGAAGAGGAGGAAAGGATAATGACCAGTCGTTGCACCTTCTCGATTAACCTGTTCTAATTTTATATATATAATTTTTTTTATTAAATAAAATACTGTTAATAGATAAGATTATAAATTGAATTAAATAATATATATTTTTTTTTAAATAGAGGAAGCTCTCGAACATCTTATAGTTTCGGTTGTTAACGCTAGAGATCAAGGGATAGTCGTCATACAGAATGTCAGTGACGTCAGAAATAAATGGGATTTCGGCGAATCGATATTTTTTGCTACTACTCTTATTACTACAATTGGTAAATATTTGTTTCGATGTCTATGATTTTTATAACTTTTTTTATTTTTATATATATTTTTTAACTGTTGACTTATTATTTTTTTAAGTTTTAAAAGTAAATATAACCTAAATTTAGATTTAATTGATAAATAAAAAATACTTTTATCTTATTTAAGTAATTATAATTAAATAAATCAACAAAAAAATATTTGAATTTTAAAATTTACCAATAGCGTGGGAGTATTTTTTTAAATGTGAACGTTTAAATTCGAACTTGAAATTTCGTCCACGCTATTGGTAGATTTAAAAATTCGAATTTAAAATCTATCACGCTATTGGCGAATTTACCAATATGAAGGAAATTTCGAAATATTCACCAATTTTACGAAATGTCTTTGAAGCTTAATTTTTGAAATGTAGATTTTATATTTAAATTAATAAACTATATTGTATATTATAATGATTCTTAATTGTTTATTCCAGGTTATGGCCATGTTACGCCATTATCAAATTTTGGTAAAGGATTTACAATTTTATATTCCGTTTTTGGAATTCCATTAACGCTCATCTTACTGGCGGCATTTGCGGAGCGACTGATGCTACCGGTTCTAATGCTGTTAAGATTGATGTTTGATGCTCTACACTTAATTATGAGACCTTTCTTCATCCAGTTCCTTCATCTCATTGTAATTGGGGTGAGTTAAACCTAAAAATCTGAAAGTGAAAGCGAGAGAGGAAGGTTCTGAAATGATTTTTCTCTTCCACAGACCCTAATTGTGGCATTCCTTTTCATTCTTCCATCTGTACTGTTTACTTATCTAGAACCCAACTGGGATTTTCTTGATAGTTTCTACTTCTGTTACATATCCCTCACTACTATTGGATTGGGAGACTTGGTTCCCGGTGAAAGTCTAGGATTAGATTACAATAATCTATACAAAGTTTTCACTTCAGGTGAGTTTAGTAGTCTGTGTTTCCGTTTACTAGAGATTACATTGCGTAAACATGACTTTTATTTTCAGTTTATCTTTTGGTGGGTTTGACTTTTATGGTAATGTTCCTCAGTCTGGTAGCCGAGATTCCGCAGCTTAATCTAGGATTATTATTCTTGAAGAAAGGTGATGAGATTACGGACGATCCGGAACAAATGAGACTACCTTTACAGTCTAGTGATAAGTATCAGAGGTATCTTATGCCGCAAACTACCGATCAAATAAAGGCGTCGGTGCTGATAAATCAGTACGATTCTTACGGAGATAAAAGTGTCATACAGCAATAATGGGCTGTTGTGTAAAAACAGCTTTTTTCTTTGTTCTTTGATGTGTAGGCAATGTCACAATGCACCCAAATGCTGAATTCAAAATAAAATATTCTTGTACATAATGTGTTAATGATATTTAAATAAATCTAAGCTGTTAAAATTAATAAAAAATATTAAAAGTTTAGGTTTTAAATTTTGTATAATAATTTAAATTGTTTATACAAAAACAAAAACGAATGTAAGAAACTGTAAATATGTGTAATTTTAATACAACTGAACTGTAAATATTTAATTTTATTGGTATTGTGTCTGTATTTTGTATGTGTTAATAAAACTTGTATTATACAATTCTTTAGAGTTAAATTCTACAATGTTTCTTTACATTAAATAATAAATTTTAATGACTAAGTGCTTAAATATTATAGCCATATGCTGTAGCAATTCACTACTAATGTTGCAGCTGCAATGTAAATTTATCTCTTTTTATTATGTTTTAGTAGAACATAATCCAACCTGAGATCTATATAATATTTTAAAATATTGAAAGAAAAATTTTTAATGTACATATTTAATTATACATAAAATGCATATATACATGCTGTTTTTTTTATAAACAATTGATATGTATAATTAACTATCTTGAGCAATTATCATTTAACATAGCAATGTTAAAAATACTGCAAACTTAGATAAAAAATTTTATACCGTAATAAAGTATGTAGAAAATCAAATCTGAAATACACATGAAATCAAACATTCAAAAATCATGTTTATATTAAGATTCTATTACTTCTAATAAATAAATATGTATGATGATTCTTTGCAAATGATGACAACAGGAAGAAAATAAGAGCAGAGGAAGCATTAACAAATATGCAAAAACTATCAGTTGGTGCATATACAGTTTATGTTAGTTTTTTTTTACAGTTCCATCATCATCTGTAACGATGGTGTGGTACTAAGGTAGATTCCTTCTTGTAAGTACCATTTCTCAATTGTCCGCTTTGTCATATATTAGGAAGTGGATCGTATTTACGGAGCGTTCGTGAATGTAAATGAGCATTCCTTTCTGGTGTTGCTAATGCACCAGGAAAATTCGATAACTGAGGAAGTATGGGCTGAAGACCACTCTGCAAAAAATGTCGCTTTTTTTCCCATAAAATGTAGTTTAAAATTCAATAATTAATTTTAAAGTTAGTTGTATTAAAATATATTTACCTTTTCTCTTCTGATTCTACTTTGCATGATTTCTGGCTCTAGATCACTTATATTTGCATTATCAAAATAAGAATGTTTAAGTAACTGTTCACACGTATACCTCATTTGCGGATCTTTATCTAAACATCTCTGGAATTTTGATAGAAACATATTTTTATGATTTCAAGACTACAAACTTAAACAAAAAAATGTTATGTTTATAAATAAATACAAAAGATATTTAATTCACTTTTACCTTTAAGAAATCCAGTCCTTGCTCATTCACTGAAGGAGGCATTTTGCTTTCCAAACTTTCCTAAAAATCCAAAGTATTTATATAATTTAAATTAAAATACATAAATACACACACATATATATTTTCATATTTACTCTCGAATCAGGTTCTGGAATGTTAACTCCGGAGAAGAAATCATTAGATTTGAATATTTGTATGTGTCTGGGAATAAGATTTCCTATAAAAGAAAGCTTATTTGTAAAAAAAGTCTTAAATATTGATTGTAATATCATTGTAATGTTGTGCTGCAACTTATAATCATATTTTAATTTCAAAACTGATTTGAGCTTTCCATATCTGATCTCAGTTTTCATCTAACTTTGTTCTCAGGATTATGAAAGGATGGTCAACAGTGGGAATTTACAGGTCTGCAATTTTAAAATTGCAGACCTGTAAATAAAAGTTAGTCAAATCGCAAAACTAATTGTCCTGCCATAATTTTGTTTTTATTACATTGTGTAAGACTTATATATCATATAATTTTTTAAGTAATATAATATCAAATCTATACTGATATATACATTTATATCAGTAGAGATCTAATATTGTATTACTTAAAGTAACTTAAAACAGTAAAAGTAACTTAAAACATACCCAGAGTTTTGCAGATAAGATATAATTGATCAACATCTGATTTTCCTGGCCAAAGAGCTTCACCTTTCATTAATTCTGCTGTTACACAGCCTATTGCCCAAACATCTACAGCAGGACCATACTGAGTGTCCCCGACAAGAAGTTCAGGTGCTCGATACCATCTGGTGGCAACATAATCAGTATATTTTTCACCTGGATCTAAATAATATAAATTATATTAAATAACTTTAAAAGTAAAATTCTAAATAAATATAAAATAAAACTATACATACTCATAGTTCTAGCAAATCCAAAATCACAAAGCTTCACAATTCCTTCTTTGGTAAGCAAAATATTTTCTGGTTTTACATCCCGATGTATACACTAAATTATATTTTAAGATTGTTTTTTAGTGAGTAATTCATAACAGAGAAATAACAAGACTTGATAATGCTTACATTATGCATGTGACAGAAGTTAATTGCTTGCAATGTTTGCCATATAATTCGTTTTGTCATGTGGTCTGGAACACTATAATAATTATTTATTAAACATTTTTGCTTAATCGATTAAATATAAAACCTTATAACACTTACCCATTAGTATGTTTTTCTAAGATATCTAAAACAGTATGATCGCAATATTCAAAGACAAGATGAAGTTTTCTTTTCCTTCGAAATACTTCAATCAAGTTGACTAGATTCACATGCTTTAATTGCTTTAAAAGATAATTATTACTTTATTACAAATAAATTAATTTTATATTCCTCAAATACTATTCATTTTTAATCAACTAAAGTGATTATTATTATTATTATTGTTATTATTTTTCAACTCTTCCTGCTCTGTAGACATTAAGAGAGCCTTTTCAGCAAATCCATTATGAATTTGGCCAGACCCACAATAGGGTGGCCAGGTGGTGAGGAATGATATATCAACCCATATACATTTAATTCTTCAATCCACAGTAGTACCACCTTAACTACTCAGCCATCTGGCTGTCAAACTAAAGTGATTCATAATGTTAAGAATAGTGACAGTAATAATAAAATCAATAAATTAATCAAGAAGCAGTGAAAATTTAAACGTAGATTTATTTTTGAAGTAATCACCTGTATAAAACAGTTTTAATAACAGAAACTAGGCAGTTTTTCTGTCTAAACACAAACTAAAGAATTGAGTTGAAAGCGCTATCGAGTCATTAATATTGCTTTGGGGCAATCTACAATTTGACACTACCATAGCCTATGGCATAAAAAAAAGAAGAAAAATTGCACATGCTTGTACTAGCAACCTTTGACACTGTCATTTTAACTCCACTGTATTTTGAAAATGAAATCACGGATGCCCTGATTTTTATTATATTTTAAATTTCCTTGGTTCATGTTATGTAAAATGACAAAGTTTAGTCAATATTGACCAATAAAATTTTGGGAATGAACTCAATTGCGTAAACCATATACAAAGGCTTCACTAACGCTCTGCCTCAAATATGCTAATAAATATTAATTTCTTGTCTTTACTTCGACAAGATCAAGTTCTACGAGTTTCTATATATAATATGAATGATTATAACAGGAATATTTTCAAACAGATAGATTTTTTTTTTAATTTCATCAAATTACCTTCATGTTTTTATCTGCTTTTTCTAAAAACAAAATTCATCATATTTATAACTTAAAAAATAGTGTACAAATATATATAGAGCTTTTGTTCATTTAGAGATATTAAATTTCTACTAATATGCTCTATTTATACAATACTTCAAATAACATATGTCCTACAATAAATATTACATAATTAATCAATGTAAAATCGAGTAGTTAGGCCACTTTATCACATGACAGATAGCATCCAAATGACACAGATAAAGTACATTTCTCACAGACACAGCAATAAGACAGATGTCATATTTTAAGCAATTTCTTGAATCAGAAAGATAAAAATATAAGAAAATTTAAAAAAATGCTTACTTTAAGCATACGAATTTCACGCATGGCGATTTTTTTAATGAGCGGATCGTCTTCAGTTTCAACATACTTTTTCACAGCAACAATTTGCCCATTTTCCCGCCTGCGACATTTAAACACAACTCCATAGGAGCCTTCACCAATTTTAGATATCTTCTCATATTTCTCCATTATTGGTTGGTGAGGATAATATTTATATTTCCTATTAAAATAAAAAATTTAAGCTATATGAATATAATTAAGAAAATATTGATAAATGCAATAACAACACAGTACCCTAAAAATCAAGTAAATTAATACTTTAAATATTTTTAAAAATTATCTTTTTTTCAGTATATTTCCAAAATGTGAAATGTGTCATCAGCAGGAAATAGTGGAAAAGGGGAAAAATAAAAGTAAGCTTAGAAGTGAGCTAATTTAAAAACATACCAAATTAATATAGACTGCATAGAGTGATGATGTAGAAATAATTAAGAGAATAGTAAAGTAGAATAATGAAGTAGAATAGTTCACATTTCTTAAAGAGAAAGTCATCCAATCGATTGCATTTTCTAAAACCAGCGTCGATTCTACTCACTATTCCGTCTCATCAAATCATTCTCCTGTAAAAAGGATTTGTTTTTTGTAATCCAAACAACCAAATCAATTCATTTTTTTTCTTAATATAATTATTCATGATCATTTAATAAACCATACTCCGGTATGAACAAATAACGATCCTAAAATATTACAGAGAAAAAAGTTTTCATTACAAATTTCTAATTTTCACTTTCCTTCTTCTAATTTTAGCATTAATAATAATAAAAAAATAAAATGTATATAAGAAAATGAGAGATTGCAGTCATAACTTTATTAACTGTAAGAAAATTACAATTTATTAGAGTAAAAATCTTGAGATCTTTGCAACTTTCAAGCCTTGCTGACTCATCTTCTGGGTATAAATTGTTCCAAAGAGTAAAATATATATATATACATTTAACTGTTAAACATCTTCAGGGCTTTACCTAAAATGTTTTAGTATGCAAACATTCCAGGTAAAGCCCTGAAGATGAATTCACTTCAAGATACATTCCAAGTAAAGCACCAAAGACTTGCCTTTGGGACTTAGAATGAAATCATTAAAATCTGAATGCAAGTCTTGGATTCTAAA